ACATACGATACAGGTAAAGTCCCCGGGGGGGTCCCCTGATCTGTTTACAGAGCTGCGATCGCGTGTCTCTGTTTATTCTGTAATCATTCCCCGAAGAAGACTTCCGTCAAGGCAAAGCTCAGTTTACAGCTACTCATCGCTACTTGGTCTATCCTCGCTGCTACTCTGAAAACCGATATGTGCCCGGATTCCTCCGCACATGAAAACTAACCCATTGCCCGCTAATATCCGTCTAATCCCTTAGTTCTATGCAGAAAAATTCCCCCACCATCGATGGATGATGTAAGATTATCCATGAAAACACTGTGACGAACAAGCTTCTGTAATGCGCGACTTTCGGCGCGACGTGCTAAGCGGGGTCCTACGTCGACTGGACGGGTTCATGGAAAAATTGCATATGTGTCCTTGGTTTCTTCGTTGTTTCTTCGTTTTCGCGCGAGCCCCTGATGACAGTTGGGGACAATTCGGGAATGCACGGGGAAAAGGGGGTGAAACTTGGTCGGATGGATGCGGAGTGCGCGCCGAGTGTGCGATTAATAAACGTTGACGTCGCTTCTTTTCTTTCGTTTCCCTTCTTTTAATTTTGTTTGTCGGACTTTTGGGCGCGTATACATCGCGCGGGAATTTCCGTGTCTCGTTTTGAATTTCCTTTTTGAATTTTCTTTTCGAATCTTGGTCGGAGCCATACGGCCTTCGAAATTTTGATTTTCTTTTCGGACCTTTTCATAATATCGGCAGGCTAGCTAGGAATTTAGGAATTTTGGAATTTCTGTTTTTCTTGGACGCTGCTTTGCGTGTTCGCGCGCTCTTCTTGCTGCTGCGCCAGGACCTTGATTGATTGGCGCCTTAATCCTTTTGGAACTGTAATTTTGGGCGCACACTTTTGTAACTGTATCTTTCTGTTTCTTGCTCCTTGTTCTTCCCGCCTCGTTTCTTCCTCTCTCCCCTCCCTATCTGGGTAGCCGCGTTTGCATGTTCGGATCGATGCGTGGAGTTGGGTACGTCCCCCACGCCGTGACCCGACCACGCAAACGTAAGCACTCCCTTTCCCCCATCTATCTACGTCCTTGTAATTCTGTGTTCTTCGCGCATGCATGCACGCTATAAATTCCGGCTGCACGATTAACTTGCTCTCTTAATAGTTGTTGGAAGCTCGGGGTTGCGCGATCGAGAGGGTCGGCACACGAGCGAAGTAAGAGGTGAACAGCCATTTCGTCAAAACGGACATATTATATTTTTTCAACGAAATCAAAACTGACTTTTTTTGCCAAAATCCGGTCGGAATTTTTTGCTCCTGAGGGTCCGGCGTTCCCAAAACGCCGGACCCCCCTGGTCTATGGTTGAGACCAGATACTTTTTTTTTTTTTTTTT